AACTTGTTAGCTGACATTTTCATAGGTTTTGCATTATGAGCAAATCTTCTTGTATTTGATTCAATTCTTTTGTCAATTATCTTTCTCCAATTGATGGTATTCTCATGCGTATTATCATCCCAATCATCAAAATCATCATTACATGACATATCATATTTTTGATCAGTATCAATAAATAATGATACTCTTTTAGTTACTATTTGTTTATTCTGTGTAATATCTTCTTTGTTATTAGACGATTTGTCATCAGATATATCAATTTTAGACAATCGTTTAGCTGATTCTGCTAATATGTCTAAGAAAAGTAAACGTTGACTTGTTGAATATTTATTAGTGTCGGTATAAAATTGTTGACACAAAAATACTGCGCATTCTTTGGGATATACCGTAACAATGGCTACACAGGATTTAAAGATTAATATCTCAAAATCTTCTACATAATATGAATCATTAAGGGTTACAAGAATTTCTAATAATTCTATACCAAATGATACATCATCATTAGGTAATTGTGATAAAATTAATTCCTCGCATACTTCCATTGTTTCAGAAAAAATTTCTGCATTTGTTGATTTACGTTCGTCTATTAAATTGTCACGTAAATCTCGCAAATATGCGGGTCTCAATCTTTCAGATAATTTAGTATCATTGGATATATCATATGGAGTTAAATCATCATCACTATCCAGTTCTGATTGTTCTTCAATATTCTCATCATTAATAAGCAATTTATCTTCGATATTTTTATTCAAATTATTTGATGACATTTGTTGTTCTTCTTCAGTTTTATTATCATCAGTTTCTTCAGAAAGTACTTTAAGTTGTTCTATTTTGTTCAACGATAATATATTACATTCTACACCCAAATGAAAAACTTTTTGATCACCCAATGAATTGAAAATGATATCATCATCAGTATATAAATTGTCTTCATTTTGACATGGTTGCTTGAAATCTAATTTTTCAATTTTTTCTATTAGCATATTAAATGATTTGATTAATTCTTGAACATCTGCGTTCATATTGTCGTAATTAAAGTCTAATTTTGGACTATCAGCTGATTCTTTTTCTGACAAAGCATTCACAACAATTTCTCCAGTACGCATACCTATTGCTTTCAGAATAATATGTGTATTTTCCAAATGTGTTGATATTCCAAAAAATATTAATTTACGACATGTTTCTTTATCGTCAGTTTTCATATTATTTTTGATTACTGTTATGGCAAGAATAATTAATTTAGTAATATATTTATGCTGTTCTATAGATGTATGATTTAATGCACTTTTATCACCCCACACATCTAAGAGTTTCATTAACAAGTCTATCATAATACGATTATCTTTTGAACATTGTGATAAATACATTATATAATTAATAATAAAATTATCACTCTCGTCTTCATAATAAGACATAAATGGTATCTTGGTTGTTAATGTATACGTCCAATTTGATACTTCTATTAAATTTCCAAAAACCAAATATAAACCATTTTTAATATTACAATATTTGAAAAATAATACAGCTAATGGTTCAATAGCTGTTCTATCTAATTCTTTGAAAATACTTTGTATTAACTTTCTACTATTATCATTTTCATAACACCACGTTGATAAAATATCAATCAAACAATTTAAGTTTGCAGAGTTTATTGTAATTGCCATTTTACTGATTAACATTGAAAACATATTTAAATTTGTTTGAATATCGCAATTTTGCATGCAATCACGAATGAAGGAAAATCCACGTGTTATATGAAAACAAATAACTTTTGTATACATCACTGGATGAAAAATATTCAACGTTTTCTTTTGTAATTTATTAGCAACACGATTTGGTAATGATACTAATATCTGTATTGTACTTTTCCATATCTGTTCTAATTCCTCTTGTTTTATTGCCGATTCTTCTTGATATTTACACGCATTTACTAACGCAGAAAATAAAGCATCACTTTTGATCACTTCTTCCAAAATAATAGAAATGATATATATTTTTCTATTGTCAGTAGATTCCTTTAAAGCTTGTGTTAATACCACGAGTGTTTCATAAAATATTTCTAATGATATACCATCGATAATAATTAATTGTTTAATTAATGGATCTAAATTATTTCCTTGTAATGGCCAATTATGATCAAATTTTTCAATAATTTCTTCTACAATTTTTCCATGTAACATAGAATCAACAAATGGATCCATATCTAGACCAATATATTTTTGACATGTTAGTGGACCAGGTAAAAATATGTTATAATTTGAAATGTGTATTTTTAATTTTTCCAGACTACTTTGGGATTTGATTTTGCCCATAGAACATAGCAATTCCAAAAGTCGATTAGCAGCATTTTCTGATTGCTTCTCTGTTGATGCGATGTTATCTTCTTTTCTGCATGCTGTAAGGAAAGTCTTTCTTGGTAGCATTATATTACTGTCAAAAATTTAGTTAATTAACCCTTCAGAACTATCGTTTAGAGAGATTCTCTCACAATTTTTTTCAAACTTTTTCTTTTTTTAAATTATTTATCAACTGTGAGAGTTTATCTCATCGTGTAAGTAAAGTCAGGCATGAAAAACCACTATTCGGATGGTTTCGTTCTATTTCGGCTACCTCCGTAGTTTTTTGCCGCCATTTTGAATATATATAGATATAAGAATACCTAGTATTTTAAAAGTTGTGTTTACAAGTGAACCAGTATTTTGAAATGATAAGAAAATGTAGTAATTAATTAATAATTATTGTTATGTTATAAGTATCAATATTTAATAAATATTTTAAAAAATAATATTTGTGATATATAACCAAAAATTATTTTTGTAGGATTTAAATTTCGCTCTTCGCGCATGCGCAATAGGCGTGAGATTTTTGTAGTGAGATTCTGTACCAGTATTTTAAAATGATAAAAAAATGTAATAATTAATTAATAATTATTGTTATGTTATAAGTATCAATATTTAATAAATATTATTTAAAAAAATAATATTTGTGATATATAACCAAAAATTATTTTTGTAAGATTTAAATTACGCTCTTCGCGCATGCGCAATAGGTGTGAGATTTTTGTAGTGAGATTCTGTACCAGTATTTTAAAATGATAAAAAATGTAATAATTAATTAATAATTATTGTTATGTTATAAGTATCAATATTTAATATATATTATTTAAAAAAATAATAATATTTGATATATAACCAAAAATTATTTTTGTAGGATTTAAATTTCGCTCTTCGCGCATGCGCAATAGGCGTGAGATGTTCTCTCATCACGATAGTAATGACTGTGGTATTGGAGACGTACGTTCTGAAGGGTTAAAAATTGTGTTAAGATGAATTTGTTTAATGAAAATGCATGCTTTCTGTTGTAAGAATAATACAGATTATTATTCTTATATAATACTAATCTAATATATTATAACTATTGTTATATAAAGAATAAGAAAATATTTGTAAGATATTTTCAAACTTTTTACCTGTTCCAAAATCGCCCGAAACAACAGGTGTAGTAGAGGTATTAAACAAGTTAGAGTTGTTAGCATTATTTTCTCTTCTATCTCCTGATCCGATTGATAAAGAATTGAAGTTCCCAAGATCCGATAACAAATCAGTATTTGAACATACTGAAAAAAGATCAAATGTCTTGAGAAACAATTTATATTTTAACTTTGAACAATTAACTATTAACTATTAATTATTAACAATTGTTTGTGTTATAATATTATGATCTACCTGTATTATTGTTTAATATTGCTTCATTATTGGTTGTTGGTGATTGCAAAGAATCAAACAAATTATTACCAACATTATTCTTCTGCGTTTGAACATTACTTGGATTAATAATTTTTAAACCAGTTGATTGAGCATTAGAAATCATAGTGTTATTTAAATTATTTGTCATTGTATTGCTTGCGTTTGGTATCGTGGATCCCATAAAAGATAATTGATTATTTTGCGATACATTAGATTGAATAGATGAATTATTAGGAGAGGTAGTAGCGCCAGAATTAAAAGCCGATGTGAAATCAGCAAATTCATCATTTTCTTTCATTTTAACAGTAGGACTACCAAATGCACTAGCAAAATCACCAAAATCAAGATTAGCTGTTTGCGAATGATTATTTCCTCTTGGATTGAAATCATCATCATCGATGGTAGATTTGGCATTATTATCCTTTTGAGAATCAAATATGTCATTTAAAATATCATTTTTATTCTTCGGGTGATTACCCATAGAAGAAAACGTATTCTAAAAGAATATAATATTCATTAATTCATTTAATCATCATAATTTGTAAATAAAATATCAAGAGATACGAACAGTTTGATCTTTTCCATAATTTGCTGCTGCACCTAAGTCTACTTTTTTAATATTGCGTGTTGTTCGTACAGGTGATGCATTCACAGAGGATGTAGATCCAGAAATGGTTTTCCCAATTCGATCTATACTGTCCATGGTATCCCTGTATTCCCTGTTACCTCTTTTGGGACTAGGATGTGTATCATTGTCCGAGTCTTCTCTTTCTCCATCGTCACTGTTAATTTATATACATAAATATAAAGTTTATTGAAAATCATTTTCATAAACACTAGTAAACTTGAGACATTACCTATTGTTTGCATCTTCAAAACCTTTACTACGATTATCTCTATCCCAATCATTATAAGTATCCGTGTTAGATTTGTTCCATTTGGGACTATCCGTCCACCTATCTCCACCACCAAATCTCATACCCATTGCTTCACTCGACAATCCGACATATTTATCTTTATTTTTCTTTGCCTTCTTACGTTCTTCCTTTAATTTGTCATCATCTTGGATAAAATCGATTAGTTCTCGTACTTTATGCCTGATGTTTACTCCTTGATCTTTTCCAAGCTCGTCTATGCAAGTGTAGTTTTCTAATGATCGTAAATCGTAAATATGTTCTCTAGAGGATGTTACAACTCGTTCGGATCCATTACGTACCAAGTAATTTAAAAGAAGCAAGGACTGAAAATGAATTAAATTATAAATCTTAATTCTGGAATCCGATTGAATTACATCAAATATTATATTATTGGGTCTACAAGTAAGTTTCCAGTGTTTTTTGATAGATGGTGTCACGAGTAGATTCCGGGCAGAAATGTTACATGTCATGTGTCATTTTAGAAACTTGATTTTGACGTTGAAGACAAGGAGCACACGGGAAAGCCGAAAAATTTTGAAGACGAGGAATTGGAGGCTTTGCTGGATGAGGATCCGTGTCAAAATTCAAGAAGAGCTTGCTGAATCATTGGGCGTCACACAACAAGCCATTTCCCTGCGCCTGAAAGCTTTGGGATTCATCTAAAAAGTTGGAAATTGGGTGCCGTACGAGTTGAAGCCGAGAGATGTCGAACGGCGATTTTGCATGTAAGAAATGTTGCTGCAGCGGTATAAAAAAAAAGTCGTTTCTGCATCGTATTGTCACTGGTGACGAAAAGTAGATCTATTATGATAATCCTAAACGCAAAAAACCATATGCAAAGCCTGGCGAGCCAGCCAAATCGAAATATTCACATGAATAAGGTCATGCTCTGCATATGGTGGTATCAGAAGGGTGTCATATACTACGAACTGCTTCCAAGTGGTCAAACCATCAAAGGACCGTTGTATCGAACCCAACTAATTCGTTTGAAGCGGGCATTGGCGAAAAAACGGCCAGAATATCAGACCAGGCACGAGTCCGTAATTTTTCACCACGACAACGCTCGGCCACATGTTGCTACTTCGGTCAAAAACTATTTGGATAATAGTGGATGAGAAATTCTGTCTCACCCGCCTTATAGTCCAGATTTGGCGCCATCCGACTACCACTTGTTTCGGTCGATGCAGAACGCTCTTACCGGAATGCGCTTCACTTCAGTAGAGGGAATCAAAAATTGGCTCAATACGTTCTTGAGCTCAAAAGACGAGACCTTTTTTTGGTCCGGAATTCACAAATTGCCAGAAAGATGGGAAAAAAATGGTATCTTCCGATGGACAATATTTCGAATGAAAAATATGTAACCATTTTTTCAGAATAAACCCTCAAATTTTATGAAAAAAACGCTGGAAACTTACTTGCAGACCCAATAATATTAATACAAAAAAAAAATAAACATGCATGTGTGTGCATACACACACACGCGTGTATAGATATGCAAGCATGTACCTTGTATGTACGACGCCAATTTCGTTTATTTTCTTGCAACATCCTTTTCCACAACATGGACATTACATCTGGGAATTGTTCGTATGTGAATGTTGCCTGAGCCAGTTCTTGCATCATTGCACCTGAAGTAATAAGATGAACTTAATTTTCAGTGTGTCCTTAAAGTAAGAGTACTACTCGAAGCAAGTGCAATATATCTTACTTGTTCGAACATTTTTATGAACTATCGTTCATAAATTATCAAGATATAATATATATAATAATAATAATAATAATAATAATAAATGTATATAACTTTATAACCTTTTTTACTTTATTTTAAAAATACTAAAGTATCTCATCATTCATAATATGACTGTGTATATATAATAAATTAAAAATATGTATACAAAATGTTGATAATATTAGGGGGACTGAAAAGTAATGTCGTTACTACGCATGTCAAATTATTTCTAATATTTTAAATCAAAAAACCGATTAATGATTTTTATCGTTACGAAAAATTCATTCGTTTGAATTTTGTGATTAAAAAGCGACATTACTTTCCTGTCCATCTAATAATAATAATAATAATGAATAATATTCTATACCGGTAGGTCCCCACGCATCATCGTTCGTTGCTTCCCGTACTTTGGCTTCTGTTTCAGTATAATTCATTACCACATTAGTCCTGAAAAAAAAAAAAAAGAAAAAACAAATTTGATTTATATTTTAATTTTTTCTGGCCCCTATGAGATACAGATTAATAGGTTTTACAAGTTTAATTGTAAACAGTATTGTTTACAGCAGCATGACAGACCTAGAGTTGCAGGTACTTAAAAGAGTTAAGATCGAGGTCACATAAGCACCTGTTGCCTGATTGTGCAACATAAATATGCGAGTATTTACGTATTCTCAAAACGAATTTTCTAATTAATGGAACTAACTAAAATTAAGTTAACTGTAGTAACATATATCACCTAAAGTTAGCTAAAAACTTTTCGCGGGAATAAATGGACTCATAGGTCAATATAACAACTAAATTGCTCATATATATATATATATATATATATATGTAAATGTAATTACGTATATATAATATGTAATATAATATATGCAATATATTTATTGCATTTATTTAATAATGTAATTTTATAATATATATTGCAAATTAAATAATATTGCATATATATAATAATACATATATAATAATATAATAATTATATATTGCAAATTAAATAATATTGCAATAATTATATTACATTTAATATTAAATGTAATATAAATATATTATAAATATATATAATATATATGACATATATATATGAACAATTTAGTTTTTATATTGACCTATGAGTCTATTTTTTCCCGCGAAATGTATATGAATATATATATAATATATATTACATGTATTTTGTAATATATAAATAAATACAATATGTTTATTTATACATGATTACCACTATGCATTTATTATGTATATATATATATATATATATATATGTAAAAGAATAATTGCATAATTGCATTTTACTTCCGATTGAAATGATCGTTACGAGTTCCGGTCGTTTGCAATTACTTTCTTTTTACGATCACGGTGGTCATCTCTTCGTATTTGCGTTATTGCATTAAAAGTTATTTTGCAATTGAAAATATTTTTTTTTTTTTTTTACATGCAATCTTTATGACGATATGGTGCACGTACAACATACACCGGTTTGTTCTTATACAATTTGTATGTTTCCTTTCTCGAAAGTTGTTTCGAGCTCCTTCCGTGAAACATTTATTGATAAATATCAAATAGCTTGGGAAAGGAAAATTATTAAAGTAAATTACGAAACGAAAGTCTAACACAAATTATACGGTTGAACGAACGCTACTATGAGTTAAGTTATAGCAATATATAGAAAGAAAAAGAGAAAGAGAGAGAACGAGAGAGAGAGAGAGAGAGACAGACAGACAGAGAAAAGTTGTTAACGATTTCATACTTCTTTGTAATATTTACCTTAAACTCGTAATACATCTCCTTAAGGGATGTATAAAACAAGCAACATGTCGAATATTATTACAATCTAGAATATGTATACAGTTAACAGGATCACATTTTGTACTTTTTATTGGATTTATCTAATAATTAGGTTAGATTGTAACTTTGTTCTTCTTGCAGAAAAAGAAAATATTTTTTGCAATTTTTGAATCGTTGCATTACTGTAAAATCTCGAATTGATCGATGACAAAGAGCTTTTTTTTGTTAAACAATGCAATACTACCTGTATATGCTATACATACAGGTGTATCACAGGTACAATTGTTTCCTATCTGTTTAAGGGGCGCCATTAGTGTGAAATTTTGAAAAAATCGAATTTTTTTTTTTACATATTTCAATAATTTTTACCTTTAAAATTAACATACTCAAATTTCAAGTGCATATTTCAAATAGTTTTTGAGTTACATAGTCATCTTATATTTTTTGATTTATAACGATCAAATCAGCAACTTAAAACTTTAAACGCGTTTTTCTCGAAACTATTAGCTGGACCGGAAAGTAATGTCGCTTTTTAACCTCAAAATTCGAACGAATAAATTTGTCAAACAAGTTTTTATTATTAATCAATAATTAAATTATTTATATTAAATTAATTAATCACGTTATCAACAACCTTTTTCTATCTGGTATGCAAATTTTTTAATATCGTAACGATAAAAATTATCAATCGGTTTTTTGATTAAAATATTAATATCAAAATTTGACGTGCGTAGTAACGACATTAATTTTCGGTCCTCCTAATGCATTTTTTAAATTTGCTGCAGTTAGAACTCGAAGACAAATCGTCCGATCGATTTGATTCTTGTTTGCAGCTTCTTTTATATACATTTCTGCATACCATGAAACCTCCAGTTTTTCGATCGAATAAAAACTGTAATTTTGGTAGGGCCCAAAAATTATCAAATTTTCGCGCGAAATTTGAAACGTTTCCTTTAAAACTCCGCCATTTTGTTAAATTTCAATTTTTCGTTTCAACCAAGATTCATGGTACGGGAAATTCCTTCTAGTTTAATAAACTTTTTGGTTTTTATGATTTCATGCACTGTGAAGGTCGCCATAACTGCAGCAATGGGGGGAATTTGGAAGAAGCCAGAATTCGCCATTAGCGAATAAGTCGGCTAATTTTAAATTTTTTGATTCAAAAATTTGGTCATATAATCATTACATATCCACGAATATCTCCTTAAAAAATTGAAACATTCCATGCAGTAGTTTTCTTTAAAAAAAAAAAAAAGAAAATTCCAAAAAGACCCCTTTTTTCAAAATGGTCACTAGTGGTGCTCCATCATAAAAAATACCAAAGTATTTCCTTTAGTAAATGACGAAAACATTATTAACTTAAACACGATGGACAGAAGGAAGCCTTACGAAACGTTTTATCACGAATTATGCATTACATGACGTATCACTTACTTGACTCCATTGTCAGTTAAGATGATTAAAAAAAAAAAAAAAAAAAAACAAAGTAACATTAATCATACAACTTTTGAATAATTTGCAGGTCAATTGTCTAACAAGTTAAAAAAATAAATGACCCGTGGGATAATCGAATCTAACAGACATTGATTCTTCTACCAATGAGCACGTAAAAAGAAAATATAAAATTGAATATGTAATACCCACGTCAATTGATGATTGGTCTGCCTACGTAAAAAAAATAATCAGATAGCATCGATTGGGTAAGAACAACGGTAACGTATGGACAAAATCTAAGATACTAGAATAAAGCATTGAGAACCACTACCTAATTTGGTATGTGTACAGTAGCACGTGCATACAATTTGAGAAAGGCTGTGACAAGTAAATATATATGTGTACATATTATACATATATATATATATATATATATATATATATATATACATTCGAGAGTTACGTAAAGAAGATATGTTATGAGAATACCATTACGTCGCGACGACTATTAAGCTCTTTCCTAATGTATACATGTACTGTATATATATATATAGGTTTCTATGGGATACATTTTGACGGTCATTCGGAAAGAGTGTAAATTCTTATGAATGAATGAATGAATGAAAATATGCATTTTATGTTATGGTTTAACAACTACTACTACCTGTATATATCTCTACGTATATACGCATTATACAGTAATTTTATAATTGAGAAACTCTTTAACACTAGATATACGTTTTTTATTTTTAAATCTACTTTTTGTAAAAAAAAAAAATATAAACAAAATATTTGTAGTTAAATTCTATAAGAAATTTTGTTTATTTTTTTGTTTTTTTTTTAAATAACCTTCAATTTTTCAAATTTTGGTATTTTAAATTTATTTTTTGAACTTTCGTTCATTCCTAACCTAAATCATATCTTTTCCAGATGAGCCGAATTTTTTTTACTATTTTTTGTTTTTAACACTAGATATACCACCATTTTCAGTATACCTATTTCTACCACACTAGTCAAAATGACTGGTGTATACAAAAAATGCTTTTTGAAGCATCCAGTTTATATTTACTTTTAAAAAATAACAAAAAAATATTTAACAATAATAATTTGAATAGATAAATGAATTAATAGACATTTTTAAATAACAAAATGCTTAAATATTTACACAAATCAAATGTTACATAAAGTAAATATTTTGAATTAAAATGGCCCAACCAGTCAAAATGATTGGTCTGAAATATCTAGTGTTAATTATAACAATAAATTATAACATTAAATATGCTAGTTATAATTTGTTTATATTTTAAGATTTATAAATATAAATATGTTAATTATTAACATAAATTAAATTTGTTAGTTATAACATTAAATTATTAACACTAGATATACCACCATTTTTAGTATACCTATTTCTACCACACTAGTCAAAATGACTGGTGTATAAAAAAAAATGCTTTTTGAAGCTTCCAGTTTTTATTTACTTTTAAAAAATAACAAAAAAATATTTAACAATAATAATTTGAATAGATAAATGAATTTATAGACATTTTTAAATAACAAAATGCTTAAATGTTACATGAAGTACAAATTTTGAATTAAAATGACTCGACCAGTCAAAATGACTGGTCTTGTATATTTAGTGTTAAATAACTAATCGTAAATCTTCAAATTAATTGTAAAAAAAATATCTTCATTTACTTTACTATATTTTTGTCGTATTTTGAAAAACTTACGGTTAGTATGTACCTGTTATCTTTATCAGGAATTGTTAATACGTTTATAACTATTTACTCAACGCGTATCAGTTACTACTTGACTCAGTTAAAGATGATAAGAAAAAATAAACAGAATAATTAATATACACAATAAACGCTTTATGTACAAAAAGTTATCATCTATTATATGTTGAATCTAATAATCCAAGACTACTTATGGAGGAAATTAATTATACATATGGCCTTGAACTAAAGATAAATAAGAGAAAGCTTTGCCATTAAGGTATGACAGATAGATATCGCAATTATAATAAATCATTGTATCAATATTATTCAAGAAAAATATATATATATATATATTATGGAAAGATATGTTGAATTTTTTTTTTTTTTCATTTCAGGGTTACATTTTGTTATTCGTGTTTAAATCAACAATATATACAATCTGTCATTGTCAAAGATAAACACATATGTTAGTTAAACTACCGATCATTATTATAATATTTCTGTCGTTTTATAATCTTATTAAAAGAAAGGTTGAATTAAAATCAATTCAAACTTTTTCAATGAAATTTATATTAAACGTTTTAATTATCCTTTTTTTCTTTTTTTTTTTTTTTCAATTATTTACCAAATATTTGACGGGTATTTTCTTTGGGATCACGTGATCAAGAATAATGACAATCATGGCATAATTATAATAAATATTAATGAATTAATATCGAAGAAATATCGAAGAAATACATTATTGAAGAAGATCGTGAGAAAAAAAAGTGCAAAAAGTGAAAAGAAGATGAAGCAAAAGGTTAAGAAAAAAAAAAAAAAATGGAAGCAAAAAGCAAGGTTATATCGCGTGCAAAAGAAAATTAGTTACGACAACTTACGCCTTATCCATAAACTCCCTCACTTTCCACATGTTCATTATCACATTCGTTGCACTATTCACAGAGAAGAATATCGTGTTAGATTGTCTCGAAGAAGAAATAATTGTTAATGGCAGCGATAAGGTGCACCAGATGTTTTTCGGGGCATTTGATATCGCAGCAAATGAAGGAACGTCACCAGGCGGTGGCCATGTTATCCCTTCCACGTTCCAGGGATGTAGATGTGTACAGATGTTTTTTATACCGATAGTGGACGTTGAAAATTGTCGAACGTACGATGACAGACATGCAATGTCTTTCCTTTGATACAATCGATCAACTTCAAACCTTCAATATATTACGAGATCGAATTAAACAATTTGTCTTTTTAAGATAATCCAAAACCGTGTTAAATGTTTAATCGTCGTATACAGGTGCGTGTAACGCGTGTCTGTATCTTTTTTCTGCTACCTTCACACTGCTCATAGCACTCGCGCCAAATTACGAAATTATTTTTTACCAATTTCTTACACTTTCTAATAATCTTACAATTAATCTTCTTAAAGTAGATTTATTTTTTACTTTGTATTATCGTCCGATGAGTATTATATTTTGACTTTTCTTAACTATAACCTAAAAGAAAAGGTATTTAAAATTCTAAGATAAGATTCAATGAGACTTATTGAAATGAAATATTTTTCTAGGTTATCTTTTTAATCACGCGATGGTAATTATACCATATGCTAGTCGACAGAGGACTTCCAAAAAGCGACGTTAGATAGCGCAACGACCAACAGTTTATCATTAACATCTCATTGGTTGGCGTTACACCAATAGGAAAAGACACGTTGGAAAGCGCGCGTTGCCCAGCGAGACACTGATAATCCAAAAAGTGTTTTGTAATTAATCTAGTTATACCTTAATGTAGTATTAAAGAATAATGTCTTTTTGTTATCAAACTTTATTATAGTGGAAAGTATAAGTTCACTTTTAAGATAAAATAGTAAAGTGTATCAGCCACATCGTTTGAACCTGTGATAAGTATGAAGTTGTACACGAATCAAAATTAATGAGGTTATGCAATCGTTAAAAAAACGTGGTAATATTTCATCTTTTGTTACGACTAAGTTGGTTACCATGAATTCACTATATATTAGAAAAACGACGCGGTTTTCCAAATAACTGAAAAATAAATACACGTGAAAGTTATTTAGCCTACTACACTTTAATAATAATATTGTACGAAGTTTATCCTCCATTGTCGTTGCACATTTAACATGGTCGCGTACATGACGTCAATATTCAATCAAATAAAACGTATTGTGCTTAAAGACGAATGTAACCGTTTTGATTGAATAATATTAACCTTAACTGAGAACGTACATACTTCACATACAAATTCAAACATGCCAGAATTTCTTTAAAATTGTTTTTAAAGTTTAATTAGTTTTAAATAATGGCGGACTTTAATGAAGGTATTGATGGAAAATTGGCTTTTCGAATGCGAAAAGTCAATCCTGAACAATTTCATACACTCGTCAAGATGCATTTATCTTTTGAATTAGATCTCAATACCGAGGAGTAAGTTATGAACAATTGTATCAAAGAAAATTTCTAAATTATTTTTTCACATTTTCACATATTATTTTCAAATATGTTATTATTATTATTTTTATATTAAGATGAATGAATGTGTTATTTTTCTAATTAAAATTATATTCAGATGAATGTGAATGTGTTATTTTCTAATGAAAATAATTTCTTTTTAGCAATGACTGTAATATTGAGAAGGCCAAATTAAAAAAGTGGGGTATATTTGCGAGAAAACCAAAGTCTACTATTAATTTACAAAAATTAGAAGGTGTTAGTTTATCTGAGAATGGAATAAATCAAGTGAAACAATTAATAGAATATTTATCCAAAGAACAAAGTAAGTATTTTAATGATAATACACAATGGTTTTGCAATTAAACAACAATTTTTTTTTTTTTTTTTTTAAATATTTTTCTCTAAGTGTTATAATTGTTTTAACATAACACTAAAGGTATTATACAAGAGGGAATATTTCGACGTACCGGAAAATTGACAAGACAGCAAGATCTTAAAAATGCACTTTATCAAGGTGTTCCTTTAAATCTTGAAGATGGTCGATTTAGTGTACACGATTGTGCTTCCGTTTTAAAAGGATTTTTAGCAGAATTATCGGAACCTCTTTTAACAGATCTCCATTTTCCTGCTCACTGTCAAATTGCTGGTAAAATTTAATATACAAAGTATATTAGATAATATTAGATGATATTGTTTTCAATGGTATATTTTAAATTAACTCTTTGACTACCTTATTTGACGTATCAATATGTCATACATTTGTTTGGACAAAAATGCACATGACGTTCATTTATACGTCATTGAAACTGACAACAAGATTTAACTAGTTCATTCTTTGATTTATTTCAAAGTAATAATTAATTTTAATATTATTATAATTAATTATTATAATATTTAATAATATAATAGATTTATATTAATAATTTACATTAATATTTATATTTAAATATAATTATATTGATGTATAATAATTATATTATATTAATATAAATATAAATATAATTTAAATATAAATATTTATATTAATTATATAATATAATATTAATTTATATATTTATATTTAAAAATATTAATTTAAATTATTATAATACTTCAAAGTAATTTTCCAATAAATGTGTACCCAAAGGGTTAATGACAATTTTTGATAAAAACATATTACCAACATACTAAAGTATAATATACTTTATTTCAATTACAGAATTGTGCAATTTGAATGATAAAACTAATGAATCCAGGTTACTGAGATCTTTGCAATTGCTTTTATTGCTTTTACCACCACCAAATAGACACATATTGAAATGTGTCCTTAATCTTCTTAATAAGACTGCAACATTTGAACATAATAACAAAATGAACTGTGATAGTCTAGCTACTCTTTTTACTCCTCATTTATTATGCCCAAGAAAATTATCACCCGAAGCTTTACATATAAATTCACAAAATTTGTCATGTCTGGTGGCTTTTATGATTAAAAAGAGTCTGGAGTTATTTGATATTCCTCCTAAATTAGCAACCGATATTAGAGCTTATTGGATTGAACAAGAAAGAAAATTACTAAGTCCTAACAAATCAGATGTAAGTATTATTATACATGATGCGTCTATTAAGTTCGGTGAATGGACCCATATTTTACAAACTGCGCTAACAAGAATGAGGTGCCCGCACGTACACATTGAAGGACATGTCAACAAACGCTTCCTATCGTGCAAAGCACTGCAGTGAAGTGGTGGTACACGTTGCAACCCAGCTAACAGGGTCAGTGTGAGAACTCGTGTCATTGCAACATGGAACGCAAAATGGAACAAAATGCTCAACTTTCTTGCTAGATGCAAGGTCACTGTGCTTCCACACCCTCCTTCCTTATTCTCCAGATTTGGCGCTGGCAGATATCTTCCTGTTTCCTCGCCTTAAATTAGCCCTAAAAGGCTTACGCTTCACAATGGTTTTGGAGATCGTGAGCTTGACCTCAGTGCTTTGAGCGATTCCACAAGAAACGTTTGCTGACAGTTTCCAACAGCTGTACACAACCGATGGTCAGAATTGTATTGTAACCAATGGCGATTACTTTGAAGGCCAGTAAAGGTATTTTATTTTGTAACTCTTGTTTCCTATATTTCCTGAGACCATTCACCACCGAACTTTTTAGACGCACCATGTAAGACAAACAATTTTACACGTATTAAAATATTGATTATTATTTTCATTTGTATTATTTATTACAGTGGGATGAATCTATACCAGACACCACAGGCACGGCACATACTGTATTTAGTTTTGTTGATCATAAATTAACAGCTAAAGCTAATTCTACTCAAGATACTCAAGCAGCACTTGCTCAGCTTTATGCTCATATACAAGCAATGCCAGAGTCTGCAAAAAAACGTAGACTTGTTAAGCAATTTAATAAGGAAAATGGTCAAGGTACGCCTAGACATGTTAAAAATATTCGTACTAAGAGCCTTGGGGATTCAATAAAGAAGCACATTTTTCAAAGGAAACTTTTGGGTAATAAAAAATTCATCGATATCAATATCGGATGTAACATCACCAGATCTAGTAGCGAGGAAAATATATTATCTACGGTAAAATTTATTGTTTATTGTATACTTTTTTTTTTTATTATTATTTATTTATTTGTATATGGAGCGCATTTTACGTCAAATTGACCACTTTTGATCTTAGACCATGTTTCAACATTAAATATCTCGTAAACTATTGACATTTCGATGATCTTCACTTAATACTTTTTAACGCAGAATAAAAAAAGGAATCGAACAGTGTAAACAAAAATATAATGTTCCATTTGAAAAAAAAGTGCAACTGCATCTAGCAGGTGCATCGATGCATTTTCAAAAAAAGTAATGTCATAGAAAGTTGACGTTTGTTGTGCC